AAACCTGCACTCTGAGAGCGAAGTGCTCTGTTAGGATGATAAGGCTCTACGAGGTCTTTATGATACGATGGAGCCTTGTCATTAAGACCCCACTCAAAGTACAAGTCAGGAGACAGCAGGCGGAAATTCTGTCTGGTTCTAAAGTTTGGGGTCAGAATTTCGCTTAATCCGTACCGTCTCTGCCCAACTTTGATACTAAATTAGACCAAAAATTGTCGTGTCATTTTGATTTCATGTGTTGTATGACACTCCCATAAGAACTTGCCTGTGTTATTTCAGATTTGGGAATGTCCCCACACCTGACAGCCATGCTAGCTGGTGGAGGGCAGGTGTTGGCCCCTGGGAGCAGCACAGGAGATACGGGCTTCAGTTTCACTCAGGATTCATGTAAGTGTTGTTCATGGGAAGCACAAGCAATGAGAAAAATACTTCCTCTGTCCCAAAGCCATAGTATGTATGCTGTTTAGCAGTTAGTACTCAAACAAAATTGGCATACTTCACTGTTTTATAGTAACAGGAAATGACGCTGTACATGCAGTGTCAGGCAGCAGTAAAACTGCAACTTTAGGCCATGTTCACACTGCAGGCTGAAGTGGCTCAAATCCGATCTTTTTGCCCAGATGTGACCCATATCCGATTTCCTTATGACAGTGTGAACAGCACAAATCCGATTTTTTCAAATCCAGCCCAGGCCACTTTCATATGTGGTCCTATATCGGATACATATCCAATGTTTTGCGATGCGACTTCAGTCTGAACGGCCATGTCGCATTTCATGCGATTTCTATGTCATTGAAATACGACAGACGTCACAATTCTGCACTGGAGAAGGCGAGGCCATAAGCAATATTTGTGCTCTCCTTCTTCTTGATATTCTTATTATTATTTCTTTATTTCGATTGCACATTAACTGGTACGTCACTACGCACATGCTATCACAAGCCACATCCATTTTTATTTTTGCAAACACAGTACGCTACATCTGATGTCATGTCCTCTTCTGCGCATGCGAGTCACCACAGGGCCATATACCATTCACACATGAGACAGATGGCAGTCGCATTTAAATGACAGTGTGAACAACAGCGCAAAAAAATCGGATTTTGGCAAAAAATCCGATCTGAGCATTAAGACCTGCAGTGTGAACGAGAGTCACTGTCGATTAAAATGTACAAAGACGGCAAAATGTTTTTATTGAACTTTCATGGCACATAAGGTTTGAAAGACTGGCAGGTGGTCTTATTTAACTTTTTTGCATCATACTCCTACAGTTTTACAATCAGCCTCACATTCCTGTGTCACAGCTCATGTTTTCAGTCGAGGAGACTGTAGACAGGGCAAGTAAAGGCATGTTAACCAGAGAAATGTATGATTATCTGTTGAATTTGTGTCCTTTTTGTTAAATGTTTTCTGCTATCACGTTCTTTGTAAGCTGCTGCTCTCAGTTAACCAGCCATTGTGTTTCCCTCGCAGGCACAGACGTGATGCTGCTGGAAAACTTCTCCACAGACGGCTCTTCCCACCAACAGCACCATGGCGGTGTGTCTGGGAAGAGGAGGAGCTCAGTCACCTTTGAAGACCAGGTGGAGCATTCCAAAGGTATTTGTCATTTTCCCACTTCACAAAGAAAAATCAGAAAGGAGGGAACACACTTAAATTTCACTGAGGGTTTGAAAGAGGAGTTTGTGGTCAGCAAGCTTCAACACATTACACTAAACATAAGAGTAGTTTTCTGTTTAGTACACCACACGAATAATACCTAGTAGTCCACACTATATAAGTGTTTGAAAAGTTACATGCATTTGTTCTTCAGTAATGGGTACTACATCAGTGCCAAGTCTCAGCTTTAATTTGAATAGGATTACAGCAAAGTGTGTGTGTGTGTGTGTGTGTGTGTGTGTGTGTGTGTGTGTGTGTGTGTGTGTGTGAGAGAGAGAGAGAGAGAGCTCGTCTAACTGGTCTGATTAGTCTTAACAGATACCACTAGAAACAGAAAACAACAGGATTTGTGTGCTTTAAACAGCTGACTGTGGAGATTACGCTTCACTAAACATAGCAAAGGGGGAAAAATAGACGCAGCATAAAAAAGGTGGTTCTACAGGAGATGCGCGTCTGTCGGACTCACTATGAACTGACTGATTTGATATAATGGAATTTTATCTGCAGTATGATACAAGTGAGAGATGGGCGTAGAAAATGCTTCCAGAAAATGCTCTTTTTTTTTTTTCTTTTTTTTTTTTTTTTTATAGAGTTGTTTTTATTTTTTTGTTATGCTAGATTGCTGATGATCCAGTCAGGTTCAAACGTAATGGGTCTGTCGGCTACTAAATATTTCTTGTGCAGCTGTGTGTTGTTTTAATATTAGTTCATAGACAAAAGAGCTTGCATATGGCTCAGAGTTGACTGAGTTGCCATTTAGATTGAGGTGGCGCTGTCTGTCACTTTCAGTAGTAAAGAAGTGAAGAAGACAATATTGAGGTTTAAAAAATCCAAAATCTTTAGAGAGTTATCATAGGTAGTGGCTTTGCCAAAATCAACAGTTGAGTATGTTGTGGAAAAGCAGAGGCTCACGGGAAAGCTAGAAAATGGCAAACGACCTGGATAACCAAGGAGTGTCTTGTGGATGATGGAAAACCCCATTATGACTGCACACCAAGTCAGGAATGCTCTCCAGGATGCAGGCAATAAAGTTTTCTTTTCATCAATCGAGAGGGGAGAAGACTTCATGATAAAACCTTCAGAACAAGAGTCAAATCCCTAGTAAGCCTCAAAAACGAAAAGGCGAGGTTGTAGTTCACAAAAACGTACAAGAAGAAACCAGTAGAGCTATGGAACAAAATTCTGTTGATTGATGGAAAGAGGGAAGTGGAGAAAACCAACTCGTAAGCCAAAATGTACTGTACCACCTCCTCTGTCAAACATGATGCTGGTTCGGTTATGGCTTGTGTATGTTTGTCTGCCAGTGGAACTGCCACCGTGGGATTTATTGATTTCACTGCCAATTGAAGCAACAGGATGAATGCAGAGGTATACAGGAGCATTGTGTCTGTGTGTGTTCAGATTCAGCTAAATGCATAAAAACTTGAACAGCATTTAATCATTCAGCA